TTACATCAGAGTTGGTACCGGTTCGAGCTAACTGACCCACTTGGTTCGTGGTTTAACATTAGCTCAGCTGGTGACGGTGGCTTGTGTCACTTCCGTCTTAGACTGCAAGTCAGCAGTTTAGCCATGTCTTTCGTGCTTCCTCCATCTTGGATTGCAGGTCTCCACCTCCTTCTGAACACACCTACAAGTCACAAAGCTTCAAAGATCCACAGCAGGATGCCACAGACAGACCAATTTGCATTCAGTTAGGTATGCGTTCAACTTTCACAGCTGCCTGCCCAAAGGCACTCAGATCCTCTGAAGTCTTTTCATCGACACTTTCCTCCTGAGTCTGCCATTCCTGCATCCGGAGAGTAGCAGGACATGACATAGCAACCATCTTGTGTTGTAATCACAATACCTTCCTGGTTTTTGAGGGTCAATGGGGCACAAAGCGTCTTGTGTCCGATCCGTGTCCTTTGATGTTTTCTGCAGGAACCAATGCAGCCAGCCACTGATCTTTATCACCTGTTAATCGAGTTGCCACCATCACATCACAGCAGGACACAAATCAAGGAGTCTCCCAGCCTGTCTTTGCCTAGGGAACAATTTGCATTTAGGAAATCATTGTACCCAAAAGTTGTGCTGCCTGAATTATCTAAATTAATAAACATTGATGTCTGGTTTAGCATGAAATTAGTCAGATATGGTATGTCCTAAATTATCACAAACGAAATAAAACACATACAAATTCTTTAAAACTAGCTTGTCTCAAAAGGAGTTAATCAGAGATTCTATCACACTAAGGCGGAGTTAACACACTCACGTCACAGAGGCTTCAAAGAGGTTTTTCACAAAAGGGTGCCACAAGAGACTTCCAGTCTAGCTTGATTTAGCTGCTTAGGAAACATTTGCATTCTAATTTAAATGAACCAGCCCGTCTCCTACTTTTTCACAGAAGTGTTACAATACAATTGTAGGGTAATCAAAAGGGTTAAAACACCACTTTATCAGTGTGGAGGAAGTCACTCAGATTTATTAACCCTTATAACCCAAACAGAAAATAAATGATGGTAATAGCTCAAATGTTGAAATAGTTACAAAACAGCCTTACTGTTGAGTAAAATAAAATACTACGATTAGCATTTATGGTCTGCAGGGGCTGAGTTGATGTTTACATTTCAAACAAGATTTGCATAGGAATAGCATACAGGAAAAATCTAGCACTGTGTTGATTCAATCACGTTATTAAATTAACACCAGTTATTTAATCTATCAATGGTCGACAAGACACATTTAACGGGAAGTTTTTAAGGTTCATAAAAGATCTAAACACCCTCCTGTAAAACCAGTCAACGGCAGGAACACCAAGTTTAACATGATTTAGTCATATGATAAAATGCTGAGATAAAAAACTGTTACTGCATAGTGTAGAATTCTATTTACCTTAGAAATTAACCCACTAAAGTAAAACTGCATAATCTAAACAATAATACTGAACATGGTAACACTAGCTGACATCTATCAGACTAGAAAATTTAAACAATAGGTCTCATAAAATCAGCTGAAATATTTAGTTTGGGGCTGTTTCTATATAGTCCAGTAAAGGAACAGCCTACCACTTGTGAAATAGAGACCATCTTGAGTCAAAGTTGTATTTTTAATCTTGGTTCATGAGCAAAAGGTATCTTCGGATCCAGATTAGCTGCTTTACAGCTAATCTGTTTCCGTCTGACAAAACTAGAGCTGTGCTGGTATGTTACAAGAGTCTATCAGGCTAATATGGCATAAGCTATTTATAAGGTTATGTGCCTCTAAACACTAAAACCTACGTGATTTGTTTATTCTAACAAACTACATGATCTTTTAGAAAGGGTATTTATTTATTGTAATAAAAATAAAAAAAGGCCTGTAGACCAGAATATCTACCCCATCATATTTGGCCATCCATTTCAGCCGGTGAAGCTGAAGGAGTTAGAGGATGGATATATTTATCCCTGCTTAACTGTATTTCCTTAACATTCTATCTACGTAAGTCATTTTGTTTACTAGTTTAGTAAGAGTTATCATGCAGATAAGAGCAATGCCTTTTTCAGATAGTATTTAGCTAATCATCACACCTCCTTTCTGTCTGTCACACACTCACTCACGAACTTTTTGCTCATTTCTAATTAGAATTTTGACCATAAAGATCTTAGAAATTAAATGTAAAATAAAGATTTCAGAACCAAACATTTCTGTCCCTACCTTCAATACCTTCTCACGTCCTCAAACATTTCTTTAAAACTTCCTTTTTGCCTTCTCTCTTTTCCTCAACTATTTCTTTAAACTGTCTATTTGCCTTCTCTGTTTCTTCAACCATTTCTTTTATTCTGTCTTTTCTCCATCTGTCTGCTTTTTTTTCAACCTTCTCTGCTAACCTCTCATTTCTTCCTAACCACACCATCCCCCATCAATTAACGCTTCGCTGTCTCCACTTCTTACCCTTTGTTCTTCACACACACACAACTGAGCCTTCTTACACATCACAGGATGTTAGTGTTGTTCTTTATTCTGTACATGTATGAATAAGACAACACAGAACAAAACAGAAACATAGAACATAGACTATCTAGAATCTGCAGGTTTCACACAGAACAAACTAGGCTCAAAGCCTCAGTCACACACATTATCGTGCATTCGGACCTTCCACCCATTCAGAGATCTCGGCCAAGATACACATTCAGGCTTCAGAACCTTGGCCCAAAACTTCTCTCACACACACACACACAAACAGAAACTAACCTGCAGGCTTTCACTCACGCACATTCAGAGCTTTGACACACACACACACACACACACACAGACGGAGCAAAACTCTGTCAGAAATTAACATGCCAGTCCTCAGCGTCAACTTTCAACAATACACAACACGGAAACCGGCAAGCCCTCCCACAAAATGGAACGCAGCCCCATGGCACCAGAAAAATCACAACACAAATAAATTTAGACCGATTTGAGATCTTTAAGCCAAATAATGGTGATTAATTTTAGTGTACGCACCATAAAATATTTTAACAATTCCAGCAACAGTGAGCTTACATAGTGAGTCTGCACATTCAACTCTATTACAACCCACAGTCCGTTGTGGGGGGTCCATGTCCGCTGACATGGACAAATTACAACCTCCCTCGCGTTTACTCTGTTCCCTCAGAGACAAACGGGGTCCAGGACAAAGTCCAGCGACTCTCAGCCCAGTCCTCTGCCGGAGCCCGAAACGTCTTTCGTGCGTGAATGGCAAAAAATCACTACCAGCGTAAAATCACTGTCGTCCAGTTATTAGGAAAAAGGTGCAATTTAGTACTCACTCAGCGTGCTATTCAGCTGCCAGACTGCGAAGCGATCTCCCACCGGAACTCTGCTCTCCGGAGCTCACCAGAGCTGATCCATCGTCTCCCTTACCAGAAACAGGCTCAAAACAACTTTAGCCAAACAATCTCACACGTTTTTTCCTTTCATCAACCAAACTTTCTCATACACTCAAGAGGTTCACACACACACACGGCCGCAACTGGCCCACCTCAATCAACTTAAACCACACTGCCAGTGGTTAAAGAAACAGACGCAAAATGAATTAATGAATTAACTTACTTTCCTCCGCGTGGTAAATTCGTCCTGGGGTCCGAGTGCGAGAGCCTGTTGATAAAAGTTCGTCTGCAGAGCTATATTTAGCCGGCCGATGGGGCAATTTTAGCCCCCCGGACTTTCAAGGAAGAAATGGCGCCGCACGGCTCCCTGGAGACGATCTTCCATCGCTAGGCTCTGCGCTGCCCGCATTCTCCACCATTTGATAGGTAATTTGATTTTATCCCATATTACCTTAAAGGACGACACACCCTTTGATAGAGAGAGTAAATTGATTATTTGTAATGTCCATGTGTGTGGCTCAACATGCGAGAAGCTGGACTCAACCAACCAGCCCCCACTCTGCTCCAGCCTCAAAGCCTTCACCTCACCAGCTCTGCATACCTGCGGTCTCCATCAGGAGACCAGAATGTTAGGTAATATTAAATCTCCATAACCCTGGACCCTGAAATAAACACACATGACAACAAGGAAGACATTTTACCCTGAGTCTCCAAAACATGGAGAGTTAACGCAGAGAAACCTCCTCCGAGGCTTCCCCACGTCACTCCCGTGTGCTCCCAGCTCGTCAGGGGCTTTATTCACCAAGGATGGGGGAGAAGGCGGGCCTTCTCAGGTTATAGAGGTACAGTTATCTTACAATCAACATCCTTGCTCAACCTTTCATGAACAGCAACAGTTGGCCATCTTTTAGGCCTCAAAAAGGTACAATTATAAAAAAAACCCAACAGCTGGTTTTGTGTTTCTGTTGTATCACATGTATTCAATTCAATTCAAGTTTATTTATAAAGCGCCAAATCACGACAAGAGTCGTCTCAAGGCACTTCACATAATAAACATTCCAATTCAGGTCAGTTCATTAAGCCAATCAGAAATAATGTTTCCTATATAAGGAACCCAGCAAATTGCATCAAGTCACTGACTAGTGTCAGTGACTATACAGCAATCCTTATACTAAGCAAGCATATAGCGACAGTGGAGAGGAAAACTCCATTTTAACAGGAAGAAACCTCCAGAGAATCCTGGCTCAGTATAAGCAGCCATCCTCCACGACTCACTGGGGATCGAGAAGACAGAGTAGACGGACACATACACACACACACACACACACACACACACACACACACACACACACACACACACACACACACACAAATTAATGTGTCTATAGTTATATTGTGATGTCTTAGTAAATATTCTATTTGGTGAAAGATAAACTTTATTGTATTTATCCTAGTGGATCTATAATTAAACGGATAAACTAGTAGTAGCACATCCAACGTCAAGGAAAGCAAAAAGTTATTATCAGGAGAGGGAGAATGTTTTAGTGGTTCAAGTTATTTATCTTTTTCTCATTTCTCTTTTAGTTAAATGTTTTGTTATGTTTGTATTTCCAGTTGGAGTGTCAGTGCCAGGAGCTTCATAGTGAACAACACGTGACCAAAAATGAAAATGTGAAACTTAAGCAGACTAATGATGAGTTGGCTCGGGAGCTGGATCACGTCAGCCAAGAACTGATCCTGACTCAGGAGCAGCTGAGTCTCATACAGGAACAGTCCACCAGACTACATGAAGAAAAGGAGATGTGAGTGATCCCCGACCATGAGTAAACATTCTTCATATCAAAACTCTACTACAACTTTTGCTCGATTAGTAGTATTTTCTCATCTTTATATACATTTGTATTCAACATTTTTGATTTTGCATTTTATGTATTAGAACAGTTGTGTCCAATAATGGTCCCTGGGAGCCTCTATCCAGGATGTTTTAGTTAATTCCTTGCCCCAGCACACCTGATTTGATAATTAAATCATTGAATCAGGTGTTTCGGAGCAGAGAAACATCTAACATACAGTAATCCCTCGCTATTTCGCGGTTCGTTCATCGCGGATTCGCTGCTTTGCGGATTTTTTCTTTGGAGCATTTTTCAGGGGGAATTCGCAGATTCGCGGTATTTTTCACTTATTCGCGGTATTTTTCTATACGAAATATATAGAAAATCTTGTTTTTTTCATCAATTTAATCATAAAATGCACTTTTTGTAATAAAACTAAAAAAAAAAAACAAGTAAAAAAATTTTTTTCTTGAGTTTTACCCACAAAAAGAGAATGTGATCATACGATAATTCAATAGGGAGCGTGGTTTCACAGACGCGGAAGTGATAGCGTCGGTGAAACGCCGGCTGATCTAGGAAACCCCCGAGCGTTCGAGCGTCAACGAAGTGACACGGAAATGCCGGGCTTTCCAGAAGTAAGTAAGATAACTTACTATGAGCTGATAGTTCGTTGGATTGATCGGTAGGTTGGAAACTCTGATCATGAATCTGAAGAAACGATGACTGAGTGGTGAGCTGGAAAGGCGACTTCCGTTTATAGCCGCGGTTTGTGACGTAGGTGCAACGTGGAGGGAAACCCCGCGAGGGACATGCTGGGAGTCCCTACTTCGCGGATTTTCACCTATCGCGGCCAGGTCTGGAACACATCTACCGCGATAAACGAGGGATTACTGTATCTAGAAATGCTGTTTTATTATGCGTTTCATGTTAGTTTTTAACCTCTTTTGCACATGGGAAAAACCGGCAGTACTGGTTTTTCAAAGTCAAATCAATTTTAAAGTTTTGTTCTATTTAAATTTAATTTTAAACTGTGATTAAGGTTAGTATACATGCACAAAAATAGACTATATATGTCTGGTATTTACATTGTTTTAATGTATATCCAAAAATTAATAATTCTGACATTACGTTGCTTAAATAATTTTTTTTGAATCCTTCTTAAGGTGTGGTGGCTTTAATTTGTCGTGGCACACCGCCACAGCAAAATACACATAGCAGAAACCCTGATCTGTTCCCAAACCTGCCAAATATTCACTGTGCCAAAGGAAAAACAGACTTTATATATGTTTTTGTCCTGACCTGCACTAACTCAGTTTCTAAACCACCTCAGGCGGGTCTGTGCTATTTCCTGAGTTTGTTTTTTAATCATATTCCATTTGTTTATCTTTAATAGCTTTGAATAGAAGTTGTAGATGCTGTTTTAAAGCAGCTTTATTTATTTAACACATTTCATACACAGAGGCAATTCAATGTACACTCATTTAAAGGTTATACTGTCTCATAATGTAAATAAGATTTCTGTGTTTCTGTGTAGTTTTGGTTTTGATGCTATCTGGAATTATTCCCTTTCCACTTTTTCACATTCAGTTAGGAAAGTTATTTTTATGTTTTAAAGTGCTGACACGAGTCATCTGTTTTAGACGTGTCATTTTTTGACAATAATGAAACAAACTACAGTTGTTCATAATGCTTTGTTGATGTTGAAAACAGGGAAATTTACAGACTCACTGAAGGACTGCAGAGGGAGCGAGCAAGCCTTCTCAAACAGCTGGACCTATTGAGGTACCGATTTGTTTAAAATGTTTTTTTAGCAGTAGTTTAGTCAGTTTACCATTTCTAAACATAATATAGTCAAGGGCATGAGGAAACCAGACAATGTTCCTCCAAATCCAAGGTCATAAAAAGAGCATGAGTGTTTAGGGCATGATGCACACAAATCCTAAAATGTTAGCATTTTGCAAAAATGTGCTAACATCTTGACTTTAGAGGACATCGTGATGTACAAACTGATCAGTTTGGCACAAAGAAAGGCCATTTAAACATGTGGTTCCTGATGGTGAGGAGACTATCTACAGATATGACGTTTTTACTGAACATCAGACATAATGAGTGATTTTGATGACTAATGAAACAATCCTGCTGTAACTTCAGATTATTGCTGTGGCAGTCTACTGCAACATTAAAAGGATACTATGCAACCTTTTCATCGTTTAAATAATTTTCTTGAGCCAGTATGTGCTAAAAAGACCCTTTGCAGGGTTAAGGAAATGTCACTCAGACCCCACCATTCTACGCATTTGCAACTTCAGACAAACACACCTGGCACTGCAGTCTGCTTCCAGCATGTTTTAGATCAGAACCACAGCTGATTTGTTTGATTTAGTGATGAATCACTCCTGTAGAAACTGATGAAGGCTGGGTAGATATTTCATCTTTTAGATTAAGGTGTTAAAAAGACGAACACACAGCGAGGAGATAAGTTTCACTTTTGCTTTGACCACAGATAATTAAAAACGGGCACTAGGGGCTGCTAAAAGCAAGCAAACCTGCTTAGTATCCCTTTAAATCAGGGGTATAAAACCCTGATCCCAGAAAGCTGCCATCCAGCATGTTTTAGAGGTTTCCCCCTCAATACACCTGATTTTATTCAGCAGGTGATTAAACAGGTTCTGCAGAGCCTGATGAGCTGCTGAACATGTGACTCATCTGTGTGGAAACCTCTAAAACGTGCTGGACAGCAGCTCTCCAGGACCAGGGTTCCCTACCCCTGCTTTAAATGTCAGGAATGAAGTGAATGTTAAGGTCTTTGTTCTTTTTATTGACTCAAATTTGTTATGAAACCTAAATTGGTTGCAAGTCTGCAACGTAATGATGTGGGAAAAGGAAGATCGTTCTCTGTAGTGATTCGTATCCTATAATGGTGCAATGATCCAGCACAAAGCAGACGGATCAATTTCTGTGCTTTGTGCCATTTTGATCATTAGACACGCCTTCCTGCCCTCCGACTCTTGTGCTTCCCTACATTTAGTTTAAAATAACTGAGATCCTCGCACATTCATGGTCTCTGTTTTAGTTTGAGGTAACATCAATATTGAAAAAATACATATATGTTGGTAAACATAATTTTCACATTACATGGATTTTAATTCACAACTGAAATTCGAAAACTTTAAAAACTTATTTGCACTGTAAAATTCTCACACCTGAATGTTACGAATTTCACTTTGAGCTGTATATTAATGACAACTAAGAAATAATATCGGTGACTCTTTTTAATACTTCTAAGGAGTAGAAACCTTCAGTAATACAGAATGCAGTTCATCATAATTGTCCTGAAACCTTCATTAATTATTTCTGTATCATCTGTGTCTTTTGTTTTCCAGAGAAATGAACAAACATCTACGAGATGAAAGGGACATGTGCTATCAGGTGTGCGCATCATGCGTTTTTTCTCTGAAATAAGTCATCGGCATAATAATAACAAGTTATTTGCAGAAACCAGGAAATTCCTTGAACACATCAAGCCCGGGGCAGCAGCCTTCTACAGAGGATGTGAAACATGCAAAACCAGATGTTTTCAAAAGGTGTTGCTGAAATTATGCAATTGTCACTTTTTTTTTGTTACAATTCAAAGTGCTGCAGGTTATTAACAATTACCATCACTGTCTTTTGCTGCAATGCAGTGAAGACGATGAGGAAGTGACCTCTATTTCTAAGAGGAAGACCTTGGTTAATGGTGTATTCCAGCCGCCTTTGCCTGCACTGAAAAGCGGACACTTACGGAGAATCATCTCAATCGAGGAAGACCACCTCCCCCATTTGCTGAATGACTCTCAGGTTCAAAATCCACTCCAAAAGTGTTCAGAACAAGAGGAAGAGTCTGACAACGAAGACAATATTGACTTTGTGATGAGTGACACTTACAGGTGGGCCTCACCAGCTCATGTGCAAAAGTCGGAGGAAAACATGGACGGAAGGCGGGTTCCAACATCTCCGAGGGTTCAGCCTGTTGGCAAGGAAACCAGCTTAAATGTAAGTTGATTAGTTGTTGCTGATTGATAGAACACCGAGCCCCGATGAGCTGATTCTGTGTTTATACACACATCAGTGTTGATATACAGTAAACAGTTTTCTCTTAACCTGTTTTGGTGATTAAGGAGGAAAACAGTTCTACAGATCCTGATCGTCTTTTCAAAATCATCCTGGTTGGAAACTCCAGTGTGGGAAAAACATCGCTCCTTCAGAGATTTTGTGACAACCGTTTCCACCATGGCACTTCTGCCACTGTGGGTATGTAAAGTGTAGAACAAACACCCTATGGCAGCGCAGCAAAAGCTGTGCAGATCCCATTATTAGTGACTAGATGAGGCGTATAATTGTAGAAAAAAAAGCTAATTTTCTGTTGGAATCACACTTTGTTTGCAAGAAGTTTTATAAAAGACTCGGCTGCTTGGGGCATATGACATATTTGCGAACAGATCTACATGGCATGTGTAGCTGTAGTTTAACATTACACACCGAGTCTTTATAAATTTCTCATTTTCTTCCCAGTTTAATGTCTCCATCATAGAAATTCTATAAGTGAAACTTGTTAAAAGGTTTTGCTTCTCATAGAATAAAAAACATTTTTCTAAATGTGGAGTGAAACAATGAAAGTCTTGACCTAACTGGCTCTTTTGGTGTTACCCCATTAGTTTGAAAAAGAAAAAAAAAACTCCTCTATCAAAAGCACACTGTGCATTTTTGTGCCGTCCTAGACAAATCCTTCATGATTTGCAAGCC